CCGTGTCCACTCAGCAAGATGGCGGCAGTGACTTCTGCTCTAGGACCCAGTTCTCCCTCCCCCAGCATCAGCTTTTGACTGGATTGGCAGTGGCAGACATGAAAAGCCCTCTCCACAGAAGTGAAGCTGCCACTACTACATTTCCGGCCTTTACATCTGTGGAACCAATGGTTTCTGTGGAGTTTGGTTATAGCCACTGGACAGGAGCATTTTGTAGATGTATCCAATGGGACTGGGCTCCACAACTCTGCATGCTGATTGGTTGTTATTTTCTGTAGTGGTCTCTGTCCCCATTGCAAAGTCAAGTCTCCTTGATGAGGGGTGAGGACCACCCTGATCTGTGGATGTAAGGACAAACGTTTCCAATGTAGTTAGGGGTTATGCTGGTTAGTAAAGTGATGGGTACAGGTTCTCTTCACAGATGCACGACTTCATTAGTCCTGGATGTCAGCGAGGCATGATTTCCCTTGTGTTGAGTTGATCTTATGTCTAATTAGAGCACCATTGGTTACTACCAAGGTGTGTGTGTAACTATTGTACCCCAGGATGCCCCTTTTAAAGGGATCCCTCTCCCTGGAAACCACTCCATCTCAGAGACTCAAGTCTAAGTCCTTGAACATGTTGGCCACACCCCATGCTCCCTGTTACACTTTTTCAGGTGTATAAGACTGCTGAGGAGCAGGAGAGATGGCTCAGCCAGAAGTACTTGCCACACCCAAGCATAACTGGAATTTGGATCCTCAGCACCCATATGAAAGCCAGGCATGGTAGCCACACTGTGTGGGAGGCAAAGACAAGGGGACCCACAGAATAATCTGGTTACACTGGCCAAATGGTGAAAGACCCTGTCTCAGTGTTTAAGGTAGAGGAAGACACCAACCCCTTGCCTCCATATGCACGTGAGCACACACACACACACACACACACTCACACACATGTTCACTCGCATGTTCAGTGTGATCTTGCATACATGCGTGCTCACATGCCACACACACACACACAAATCAACCAATAAAAATGATCAGCATGAGTGTGTAAGCATGAATGCTGCTCTTCTCCAGCACCCAAGTTCAGTTCCGAGGAACCACATGGGGTAGCTCACAACCAACATCTGTAATTTCAGATCCAGGAGATATGACACCCTCTTCTGGCCTGCTTGGGTACTGCACTTACACACACACACACACACACACACACACACACACACACACACACAGAGTTAAAGACAAGATAAATCTAGAGCCAGGTGTGGTAGCACATACCTTAACCCCTGTATTTAGGACGCAGAAGCAGGTGACTCTCTGTAAGTTCGAGGCAGCCTGGTCTATGCAGCTAGTTCTAGGCCAGGCAGGGCTAACATAGTGAGACATCATCTCAAACAATCTTTCTTTTTTTCTTTTTTTGGTTTTTCAGGGTTTCTCTGTGGCTTTGGGGGCTGTCCTGGAACTAGCTGTTGTAGACCAGTCTGGTCATGAACTCACAGAGATCCACCTGCTTCTGCCTCCTGAGTGCTGGGATTAAAGGCATGCGCCACCACCACCTGGCTATCATTGCAAACAATCTTAAAAAACAGGAAACAAAACTGAAAAGGAACACTAGTGGTCAGAGAAAGAACTCACATGTCAAGGGCTGCCTGGATAGGGCTGGATCTAGAAGGTGGGAATTGAACTCGGTCACAACTTTCCCGCTAACACACTGAAGAACCAACTCTAGGACTCCTTCCTCCTTGGGCTCTGGGGCCCCACTTTGTGGGTGTAAGGCTGCTGCTGCTGGAGTCTTATCTTCCTCAGCCTTTGTAACCCCACATCCTCTTTTGAATCCACTTCTGTTGGTGTGAGAGGTGGGGGGAGGGGACGGGGGCTCCTCCAGCTGCTACTTCTGTATCTGCTGAGGTGGAAAGATAAGGCAAAACATTTGGGGAACTAGCTGGCTGCCCAGCCTGCAGCTTTTGCAGAAGTCTGCGGAGGGAGAACAGAGTGTATACAGTAGTGCTCACTGACAACAGCTACTGGAGTGAGCTGGGTACACACACACACACACACACACACACTCAGTATCCCAGCTCAAAAGGAATTGCCAGGCTCCAAGAAGTAAAAGGGAAATGAGTTCCAATATCCTCACTCTCCCGTCCCCCCCCCCCCGTCTCTGAGACACTTTGAACCAAATGCAACTTAAGGGTTTGTTGGATCACAGTTTGAGGGGCCACAGGAGCTTGGGGGCAGCTGTCACATTGTGTCCATACCCAGGAAGCAGAGAGTAAGGGCCATAGTTAGTGCTCAACTCACAGTTAAAGTTTGTCTTCCCATCAGCCCAGCCCTGTTCATCCCTCACCGCGGTGTCTTGTCTCCTAGTGATTCTAGACCCCGTCAAACTGTCAATCAATGCTAAGCCTCACAGTAGCTGGCATACCCCATGATCCAGCTGCTCTTGCATCAGGACCTCAGGCCAGGAGTGGCCCTTAGGCAGGCAGCCAAGGCCTGCTCTGATTAGTCTGTGGGACACCTTGATCAGATGTGCTGGTTAGCGCTTGTCCTCTTGACTCAAATGAGAGTCACCGGGAGGAGGGAATCCAGTGGAGGCAGCTCTAATGTGTTTTATGGATTGATGACCGCCGTGGGGGGGGCTGCCACCCCTGGGAAGGTAGAAGGGGATGAGCAGGCCACAAGAAGGGTGAGCTTGCAGACAGTGTTCCTCTATGGCTACCGCTTTAGTTCCTGTCTCCTGATTTCCATCCCGGCTTCCTGCCCGACTTCCCTCAGTGACAGACTGTTACTTGAGGGTGTGAGTCAAATCCATCCCTTCCTTCCTCAAGTTACTTTTGGTCAGGGTTTTATCACAGCAAAAAAACAAAAAACAAAAAAGACAAAGCAGGCCAGCAGATGTCTGAGATTTTGGAAGCCACTGCTGTAGAAAAGACTTAACAAGGCTGGCTCTTGGGAATTCGGGTTTGGGGCTAGTCTGTGTCACTCTTAGCAGCCAGAAGAATGACTCATGGTGACCACACTATTTGAAATGATCTTGCTTATGAGCCTCTAATGGGCAACACTGGTTGGATGACATTTCATAATGTTGCCATAAGTAGATGGAGGAGTCAGCTGGGCTTTGTAGGGGTCCACAAAGCAACAATTCCTGGATATTTCCCTGGCATCCTGTGGGTCACACAGGCCATGAACCCTTTGTTCTTGTTGATTTATAATTTGTTGTGTGACTTTCCTGGAGACAGACGTGAGTAAATGTCTGTTCATTCCAGGCACCAATAATGGACCAAAGAAATGACTCCACACTGTCTAGCTTAGTGAACCAATGACTTTAACGTGGAGGTCTCAATGGTAGTTGCATCACATAAAAGTCACCAAGCACTAGTGACGATTGATTTATAGGCAGCCAGGAGCTCTCTGTGGGACTTGTAGGCAGCTCCCCAGGCTAGAGAGTGTCCCTCCTCAGCAATAATCTCTGCTTATACAACCTGGCAAGGGGCTTTGTCAGTTTTGCAAGCTTCAGGGCCTTCCTGAGCCTTGTGAGTTGTTGACTATTGGTTTACTTCCTGAGACTCAAGGAACATCCATAGGACAGGACATATCAATTCCCAGGAAACTGACACCAAGCTCAGTCTAGGAAAGATTCCTGGAGGAAGAGGTCTTTATACTGGAAGGGATACAGGCCTGCAGGTGAGCTTGTTTCAGATGTGGCATTAATTCATTAACTTAAGGTAAATCTATAACTTTTATTATGAAAATTTGAAGACAAAGATTATAACTTTTACCTATGAGACTTTAATGTGTAATGAAACCTAAGTATTTCTGTATTCTGAAACATTTGTTAAATGAGAAAATGTCATGAAAGTACCCATTGTACTGGCAAGTTCTGACTTTAAGTGTTCAGTTCACAGTTGTGTATGTGTATGTACAAGTAGTTCATTGAATACAGAATGATACAATGTAAAGCAGATTGTAAAATGGTATAGAGTTCACTGTAGGAATTTATGCAAGGGCTTCAGAGGCATTGCTCTTAGCAGAAGAGGAGTTGGGGGGTGTTTCACAGCCAGGAAGCAGAGAAAGAGAGAGAAAGAGAGAGAGAGAGAGAGAGAGAGAGAGAGAGAGAGAGAGAGAGGAGAAGGGGAGAGGAGAGAGGGAAAGAGAGAGGGAGAGAGACAGGGAGGGGGAGAGAGTAGAGAGAGGGGAGAGAGAAGAGAGAGAGGGGATAGAGAGGGAGAGAGAGGAGAGAGAGAGGGGAAAGAGGAGAGGGAGAGAAAAAGAGAGGAGAGAGAAAGGAGGAGAGAGGAGAGAGGGGAGAGAGACAGGGAGGGGGAGAGAGAAGAGAGAGGGAGAGAGAGGGAGAGAAAGGAAAGAGAGAGAGGGAGAGAGGAGAGAGAGAGGGATAGAGAGGGAGAGAGAGGAGAGAGAGGGGGAGAGGGAGAGAGAGAGAACACAGGTGCTCAGCCCTCATCTCTATTCCCACCCATGAAACAATGGTTTGCCATTAGAAGTTCATGTGTGTAAGGGGCTTCAAACATTGTTCCTCTCCCGCCGAAACTCCCTTCCCTACAAGGCCCCTCTGACTTCCACATCTTCTTTTTGCGTGTGTGTTTTCTCCTTTTTCTGCAGTCTGGGGCCCCAGCCTGTGAGATGTCACCATCTGCATTCAGAGTGGGTCTTCCCCATCTCTGGAGTCGCCCTATAGGCAGCCCCAGCATCGGGCCTCCCAGCGGATTCTGTCTTTCAGGTTGACCACCAAGACTGGCCATCATGGCTAACCTGTGGTGTCAGCTAAGATGTGGCCTCCGCTCGGCTCCACAGGGAGCCAGGGACGGGGACACCCAGCCAAGCCTTTCCCCCTTCAGGGTCTGTGGATTTCCATGCTTCTGTGATCTTCAGATATGGGCTGTAATTTGGGTCTGTGGTTTTCTGCAGTTGGTCAGCAAAGGGCAAAGGAGGAAGCTGCCAGCTGGTGGCAGTCGTCAGAGCGCTGGGGGGATGGGTGCCTCAGCGCCTGGTCAGGGAGTCCCCAGAATCCACTACAGAGGCACTCCAATTTCAGCAGCTGTATGGGACAAAAATTAAGATGGCAGACGTCTTGGTTGTCTTGTCTTGACACAGACTAGAGTTGTCTGGGAAGAGGAACCTCAGGTGAGAAAATGCCTCCATGGGATGGCCTGTGGGCAAGTCTGTGGGGGCATTTTCTTGATTGATGGTTAATGTGGGAGGGCCACGCCCACTGTGGGCTGTGCAGTATCTGGCCAGGTGGTTCTGCATTGTTGCATGGAAGGCTGGCTGAGCGAGCTGGCAATCAGTGTTCTTCCATGGTCTCTGCTTCTGCTCCTGCCTCCGGGCATCTGCCCTGCTTGGGCTCCTGCCCTGACTTGCCTCAGTGATGGAGTGTGACCTGGGAGTTGTTAAGATCAGACAACCCCTTGCCTTCCCATGCTGCTTTGGGTCACAGTGTCTATCACAGCAACAGGAGCCCTGAATAAGACAATAGCCTAGACTGCCTACACTCAGGCCTTGGGATGGCGTGGACTCAAACGTTTTCCCCAGGGCAGTGGGGACCCATGGATGGGCTTAGAACACTAGAGGGTGTGGCCAATTCAAATGGGACTTCCCTGGAGATCTCGGAGGCCCCCAGATTCCCATCCTCACTCAGGGTGATGACGAGTGGTCTCGGGACTCTGCTCAGCAGACTTCTCTAGCGGTGAACATCTCTTGCTTTCCCCACTGCTGGGAAAGTTATAAAAGGCTCCAGCTTGTGTGAACTGCTTGGTTATAATCACTTCCTCTTCTCCCTGCTTCCCCTCTCCGGGGTCTCACAGTCCAGGCTGGACAGCATCCCTTAGATTAACAAGGTGCGAAGAGTCTTCCGTCTTCAATGATTCTGAGATCTAGGGCCCCGCCTGGGGTGGGTAGAGTAAGGTGTGACTCTGGACTCTGACTCCCGCATTCATGCATGCTTGTCGGGCCGAGTATTTTCTCTTCCCTGGAAAAGGGGTCTTGCAGATGGGGGGCATAGTTAAGAACTTTGAGAAGGGGACATTATATAGGTGGCTGAATGGTATCAGAGCGTCCTTATATGGTCAAGGAGGCACGTGCCAGTGAGTGAGAGAGAGAGAGAGAGAGAGAGAGAGAGAGAGAGAGAGAGAGAACAGAGACAGAGGAGAAAGCAGAGAGAGAGAGAGACAGAGAGGAGAGAGAGCAGAGAGAGAGAGGAGAGAGAAAGGAGAGGGAGGATAGATATTTAAGAAAGAAAGGAAAGAGGAGGGAGGAGAGAAAGGAAGAGAAAACAGGGAGCAGAGAGAGGCTGAGCAGAGAGGGGGAGGGATGAAGGTGCAGAGGCAGAGAGAGGGGAGGGAGAGGCACTACCGTGCCATCCCTGGAATCGACTCTTTCTCCAATGTGGGTCCTGGGAATAGAACTCAGAGAGCCAGACTTGGCTGCAACTGCCTTTACCCCGAGCCTTCTCACCTCCACAACGCTCTCTCTAAAGGCTAATGAAGAACCACAAACTACGGAAGATGGAGCCAGATTCTTCCCCGCGGCTTCCAAAGGACACCGACACCACGAGCACCCCGATTTTAGCCCCCGAGACCCAGGGTCCCGACTCCTAGACTCCACAGGACACTTGGCTGTCATCCCCCGCCACCCCTTGCCCACGACACGTGGGCTCGAGTAGAGAAGCTCTCAACCTTGTAGTCTAGCCTTGGATTTCAGCTTCCTTCTCGGTCTCATCTTCCTGTCTGTAGCCAGATGTATCCCAGATGTTCTGCTTTAGGCCCCCACTTGTTACATTCCTCACATCTCAACTCCACCCCAGCCAGTGCACACCTTAAGCGGCGCCAGGGAGGTAGACTAGCGACCAGAGCTTGTGACATCATCATGGAGCCCAGTCTGTGGCGTCATCATGGAACCCATCGGTACTGTCCCGATGGTCAGAGCCCTGGAGATAGAGCCGGAGGCGGCTGTGAGCAGCGGGGGCCCGGGCATTGAACCAGAATGCAGGCCCTCCGATGGAGAAGTCAGCCCTCTTAACCACTGAGCTGCGTCTCCAGCACCAGACTAAGGTTTTCCTGAGATGGGGTCTCACTGTGAGTACCAGGCTGGCCTCCAACCCTCAGTTTTCTGGCCTTAGTCCATCCATCTTGAGTGTTGGGACCACAAAGGTTTGCTGTCCTGCCTATCCTAGAACACATATTTTCTTTTTGAAAATTTAAATGATATTGTTTATTTACTCTTTGAAAATTTCATATGTATATCCACCCCACGGCCCCTCTAAGTCCCCCTGGTACCCTGGCACTTTCAAATTTCATATCTTATTTTTTCCAAAATATACTTATTTTTATTTCATATTTGTTTACATGAGAATGGAAGAAATCAATACAATTATTAAAAGTTACTAGGTTATGTGATCTTGCTTAATATTATGCTTTGCAACTCCACCCATTTCCCCACTAATTTTTTTGTCTTGTTTTGTTGAGACAGGGTTTCTCTGTGTAATTTTGTAGACCAGGCTGGCCTTGAACTCACAGAGATCCTCCCCAGTGCTGGGACTAAAGGCATGAGCCATTACGATCCAGCCCATTTTCCCACTAATTTTGTGAGTTCGGTTTTCTCTAGAGATGAATAGCATTCGCCTTTCTATACATACCTGGTTTTCACTATCCATTCATCTCTGCATGGGAAGCCAGTACAGGTGTAAATAAGACACCGAGTTAAGGTGAGGTTTCATGAAGGGCACACGGGCCACGAAGAGGGCCAGAAAGCTGATTGTTTCAGTTTCTGTGCTGGAGAAATGCATGAGAATGCTCTGACAGTGAAAACTTAAAAACCAAAGTGGAGACCCCACAGATTTAGAACAGCCGTTCCAAAGTGTGCACCCACGTTCACGGAGACGTGCGGCCTCAGGCCCGGCTGCTTTCACATTGGGGTGCCTTTGTTTATATTTTTGGGTGCTTTTAAATCGCAAGCTCTTCACAGTAAAATGATTTTTATTAAAAGATTAAAAAGAGCTTAAGAGAAATCTGAGATGAATAGACACTTGCTCACATTTCAGGAGAAGTGCTAAAAACAGAGGTCTGTTGGAGGCAGTGAGGTCACAGTGAAGGATTCGTGCAGCACTCCTGGGACTGGGTTGGTTCCGGTGACAGTGGCTGTGTCCTCTTCTCAGACTCTTGCCTCCTGATGTGTCATGTGGTCTCCTTTGTACTTGTTTCTACTCCTGGATGCCCTCTGTCAAAAGGTCCTCAGCCAAGCTGAACACACGTTGGAGTCATGGTATTGCATCTTTACAACTGTGAGCTAGGCAGACCATTTGTCTTTGAAATGTACACATTCTTGGGTATCTTGTTATAGCAATACAAAATGGGCTGACTGAGACACACGAACCCCTCTGTGACTTTCCGCAAACATTCTCACGATGTCATTGAACAATTGTGTCAAGTCACAGTGAGGAGGAAGAAGCCACATGCCACCATAGCCTGTCTCAGTGGTCACACACGGTCAGCTCTTTTCCCTGACCCTTAGAATCAAGCCACTGAATTCAGCCCATATTCAGGAAGGGAGGACTTAAGCCTAATTGTCTGAAGGAGGAAGTATCAGAGACTCTGTGGACATGTGGTCAAAGTGCGCGATGCATTGAAGTGAAAACGTTGTTATGGGGCTCATGGCGAACTCGAGGATGCAAGGCCAGCCACAGGCACACAAAACAGTCACGCATGGTGATGTGTGTTCGCAGGCCCAGCCCTGGGGATGAGGAGAGACAAGGGGTCCCTGGGAAATCACCAGAGCTGTGGTTACATGAATGAGACCTGTGTAAGACTGAGCCAGAGAAACTTCTGGCATAGATGAGTGGATGCTCTTTTTTTTTTTAAACTTTTTTATTTAAATTTTTTTTCATTTTACATACCAACACCAGTTCCTCCTCACTCCCTTTCTCCCACCCTCCCACCCCCCCCCCTTTCCTATCCCTCCATCCACTCCTAAGAGGGATTAAGGCCTTCCTTGGGGAGTCAACAAAATCTGACATGCCAAGTTGAGGCAGGATCAAGACCCTCCCCACTGAATCAAGGCTGAGCAAGGCATCCCACCTTAAGAGATGGGCTCCAAAAAGTCAGTTCATGCACCTGGGATAGGTCCTGGTGCCACTGCCAGCCGCCCCCCCCAACAGATCAGGTCACGTAACTGTCATCCACATTCAGAGGGTCTAGTTTGGTCCCATGCAGGTTCCCCAGCTGTCAGTCCATAGTCTGTGAGCTCCCACTAGCTTGGTTCAGCTGTCTCTGTGGTTTTCTCCATCATGCTCTTGACTCCCCCTTGCTCATATGACCCCTCCTCCCTCTCTTCAGCTGAACTCCAGGAGCTCAGCCCAGGGCTTGGCTGTGGGTCACTGCATCTGCTTCCATCAGTCACTGGATGTAGGTTTCATGAAGACACCAGGGCAGTCACTAATCTGACAGAAGGGGAAGGCCCTTTCAGACACCCTCTCCACTATTGCTAGGAGTCTCAACTGGGGTCATCCTTGTGGATTCATGTGAATTTCCTGTGTACCAGGTTTCTCCCTAACCCCATAATGTCTCCCTTTATCAAGAAATCTCTTTCATTGCTCTCCCCCTCCGTCCCTCCGCCAACTCAGTCTTCTTGATGTCTCATGTCTCCATCCCCCATCCCCTCCCTTCTATCCCCTCCCAGTTTACCCAAGAGATCGTAACTATTTTTCCTTCCTGGGGTCCTCCACATGTGTCCCTCTTAGGGTTCACCTTTTTCCCTAGCATCCCTGGGGTTGTGGATTGTAGCCTGGCTAGTCTTTGCTTTATGTCTGATATCCACTTATGCGTGAGTACATACCACGTTTGTCTTTCTGGGTCTGGGCTACCTCACTCAGGATGTTTTGTCTAGTTCCACCCACTTGCCTGCAAATTTCAAGATGTCATTGTTTTTTACTGCTGAGTAACACTCCATTGTGCAAACGTACCACATTTTCTTTATCCATTCTTCGGTTGAGGGGCATCTAGGTTGTTTTTGGGTTCTGGCTATTACGAATAATGCTGCTATGAACATAGTGGAGCATGTGTAATTGTGGTGTGAGTGTGCATCCTTTGGGCATATGCTCAATAGTGGTGTTGCTGAGTCTTGAGATAGATTGATTCCAAAATTTCTGAGAAATCACTGTACTGATTTCCAAAGTGGCTGTACAAGTTGGCGCTCCCACCAGAAACGGAGGAATGTTCAAGGGGGTGCACTTAGGCTCCACCCCTTACTGAGGAGTTCCTGGTAGGTGTTGGGTAGGTGGAGGGAGAAACGGCCATTTCTGAGGGTGGGGCCATTGGCTGGGTGCCTGTGCTTCTGTGTGCCCCACCCCACCCATGCACCCATCAGCAGCACTAACTGGACTTAGTGAGCTATTAAAAGACATGGGGTTGGGAAGGGATGTGTCTGGGGATGCTGGAGGGGGAATTGGGTGGACATAATCAATCATATTTCACTGCCTTTATAAACTTATCATGGACCGAGAAGAGAATTGGAGAAGAAATAAAGCACTTGGCAGTATCCCCTTGGGTGATTGGCTGTGGTTTCCACATTACTGATGTGTGTCTGGGGAAATCCTCTTTGTGGCTATTTGGGCTTCTGGGACTTTCCCTGTACCCGACTTTGCATGTTGAGAAGTATCTTAAAAATTCCTGGAGGAGCTGGGCACGGTGGCCATGCTTCTAATGCCAGCCCTTGGGGGTGGGGAGGACAGAGGCAGGTGGATCTCTGTGAGTTCCAGGCCAGGCTGGTTACACAGTGAGTTCCAGGACATTCAGGGCTACAAAATCACCAGCAAAGATAGACATAAGGGAGGGGGGGTTGAGAGGATGCTTTAGTGACAATTTCAGCAAAATGGAAGGCACAAACCCAAGAGAGATGCTGTGCAGTGAGAATCTGTCTTCAGCAAGGGCCTGGGAAGTCACAGTTAACCTAGGCTGAGCAGCCTCCACATCAGAGTGGGTCTGCTCAGAGGAAATGTGGGAAGGGGCTGGGAGACGGCTCAGTGGGTGGGAAATCCTTGTCATGAAAGTCTGATGACCTACTCTGATGTGGTGGCTTGTGCCTGTGACCCCAGATTCTGCTGACCTCTCCAGGGTCTCACTATGTACTCATTAAGTAGAATAGGCTGGCCTCAAACTCAGAGATCCACTGTCCCCTGCCTCCAAAATGCTGAAGTCCCAGAGAATCTTCTGGAAGCTCATGGACCAGCTGGCCTGGAGTATGGAGCAGCAAAACCAAGACAGACTTGCTTCAACCAGGTGGAAGGCGAGAACCCATGTCTGAGGCTGTTTTACACGTGAATGTGTGCACACATGTGCTCTTTACACATTGCATGTGTGTGCACGCATTCACGTGCACACACACACACTCATGCACACACATTCACACATAAACATGTGCACATACAACATGCTTGCATACACACAAACACAAACACTTGCACACACATTTATGCATACACCCACGAGTGCTCACACCTGCATACACAAACCTGCATACACATGCACACACATGACACAGACATCCACACACTCACACTCCCCCACACTCAGACGTGGGCTCCCACACATACATAGACACATACATGAACACATATGCATGCACACATGCACTCTAATCACAGAAGGAATCCTGGAACTGGAGGAATGTGGAAAGTCCTTCCAGAATCCTTGAAGTCTGTAGCATCTGTGTGAGCCTTGCTTCAGCCGGTGCCCTCTTTCTGCTAAGTTTGATTGACAGGATCCTGAGTGATGTAGGAGACTGATTCTGTGCTTGCCTGTGAGGGATAGCCTTGATTAAGGTTAGCCTGTGGGCATGCTTGCCAGGGACTGTATTAGGCTCACAGAAGTGGGGAGATCCGCCCTGAATGTGGGTACAGTATTCTCTAGGTGGGGAGTCTGGACTGGAGATTTTCCAGGTCTCTTCTTAGGCTCCTCTTGAAGGTCATTATCTTAATCCTAAGTCTGAGTCACACTTCTGACTTGAGTATGTGTCCCCTGGCTCTGGTTGACTGTATTAAACAGTGAGGGAAGGAATTATCATCCACCCCCAGGCACCAGGAGTTTCAGCATTCTTCATATGCAATGACCAGGGAGGGTCAGTGCTGCTCATGGAGCTCATACCATGCCTTAGTCCCAGAGGACATTTACTGGGGACTTACTAGTTCCTCCTCTCACTGCTGTGAGAAAATGCTTTGACAAGGGCTGGGCAGATGGCTCAGCCAATGAAAACACTTGCCACCAAGCTTGACCGCCCAGGTTTGATCTCTGGAGCCCACACGGCGGAAGCAGGGACCCTACACCAGCAGGATTTCCTCTCTT